TCAACTGTATTTGTATCTTAGGTGAGCAGTCAAGGGCCTGGAACACAACAGACTACTGGGAAGTGCCAGCTGGCTGAGGGAATATGAGAATATGACTACTTAGATAGCATGCCTCGAACCTTTATTTGTACACCCGGCATCACTGTTATTGACAGATAGTCACTGAACTCTGCTTTCGCCCACAAATATAGATTCCAATGCAGAGGGATGCTGGCCTTCTGATTAGGGAGCCTGTCGCAGAGGAACTCTCCATTTGGGGGGCCTAGCCCAGGTGTCCTTACCAAGTCATGTTTTTGCTGGATGAGGATGCTGCTTTTCCTCATGTGGCTAATTGTTAGCTAACTAATAAATATAAATCTCAATCAGAGGTGTAGTAAAATAAAAAAATTAAATATTTTCAAGTTTAAGCTATCCCTGCTGATTATGTACATTATGATGTAAAAATCTGTCTGTGATAAAAATGACAGGTGAAGCCACCTAGATTAATGACATAAAATTATAACTTATTTATGAATCTAAAATTACTCTTTTACTGTCATGATGTTGACAATAAAGACAAAGAACATTTTCAATTAGAACAACAGAGATGGTGCTAGAATTAGGAACAGGAAGCTAATTCTCCAAACTTTTTGTTGGTCTTCCTTTTAATTTTGTAAGCCAGTTGGAACCATGTAGACAAGTATTGTTACCCAGAAATGAACTGTCCTAGTTGTTCTAGCTGCCTTTTGGCCACCCATTCCACCTCCTACATACAGCTGAAATCTGTTTCTCTCCAACTCAGTCCTCCAACTGAAACCAAACAACCTCATCTTTCCCTCCCCACATCACCTTGGTTTCTCTTCCAAATCTGTTGTCCAAACTGCAGTCAGGATGATTTTTTATTACACATACCTGATCATGTTATTGCCCTACTTAAAACTCATTAATGGTTTGTCTGTTAGATATAGTCCAGAATCCTTCACATAATCTACTAGGCTCCCTCCTACCTGCCTTTGTAGCTAGATGACCACACTGATGTATGCCCTTTACTCAGCCCTAACTATGAATGGTGGCCCCTTGACGACTGACAGTATCTTAGTTTGGATGATACAGCACCTGGCCACCCTCCTTGCTCACCAAGCTCACTGCCCCAGGGCAGCTGCCTTTCAGCCTGCCTAATCCTCCCCACTCTATACTCTCATGCCCAATGGGCTCTGCCTCCAAAGTACTTACCATACCTAAAATTCAATAATTACTTTTGTAATTACTTTTTAATGCCCACATCACACCAGACTCTAAAGTCTATGAGAACACGAAGCTACTGGCTGATTTGCTCACTGCTCTGTCCCTGCAGCTCAGAGTGATTCCTGAGACAGCAAGGGGATGGCGTCTAAGGTGCTGACCCAGAAATCCCAGGGAATGAGGGTCACTGCAGTGTGGAAGGACTGTGCTTTGGCTAAAGGAGCAGAATATTTACTATAAAAAGCATCTTAAAATACTCTAAAATTGACTAGGGAATGAGGAGTGTTCTGGTGGCAAATGAGAAAGAATGTAAACATGGGGTCTTACCTATTTTAACTGTTAAGAGGACTCAGGATGATTATGTATTTAAATGTTTATTTAATGTCTTTAATACAAAGTAGGTTTTGGAAAGAGAATATTACTTGGGATTTTGGATGTGGAGCTGCGATGACTCCAATGTCTCTTTTCCCTTGAACAGATAAGTCACAGCATTGAGGGAGAAGAGGGCAGGAGGGGAACGGGTCAGGGCGGAAGGAGAGCCTTGCTTGGTGCTGGGTGTGTAAAGCTTGGGATGCCAGCAGGACAGCTCTACCGGCCACAAAACCCAAGGCCTCTCTTTGAAGCACATGTGCTGGTCTGATGAACTCCGAATACTAAGTGTCATATAAACGTCTGTGCAGGCAGGTAAATCTTTATATATAGAGTGACACTAAACAATATGGGAGTTCAGAGAGCTATTAAACGGCTCCAACTCAATGAAAGATACGTTCCGCTCCCTTGCCATTGAGGTTATTAGAATGCTCCACTGTGCCCTCCCTCAATGAACAGTGTCAACCTTAGGAGTACAGTTCATTAATTAATTAAACAAACATTTCTGGAGTTTCTGCTACACGGCAGGCACTGGGGTAGACACTAGGGAAGTAATTAGGGACAAGACTGCATTGTTCCAGTCATTCTGCCCAGCCAGAAAGGAAAAGAGCTGAGTTCCAAGTAATCACAACACAGGGAAACACAGGGTGCTGGGAGCGGGGCGTGTGTGTGAGAAGGGCACACCTGAGCGGGACCTGGAGGTCAGCAAGCAGTGTCACAACAAATTAAGCTGGAGGAGTAAGATGAGATGAACTGAGAAGGGACCTGGCCTACTGGAAGCGTGGAGGAAGGATGAGAGGGAGGCAAGCCTGTAAAGCACGAAGCCTCGCGTCACTACACTATAGACGTGAGAGGGGTGGCCTGAAAAGCAGAGTGGAGAGCAGAAGTTGGGATGGAGAGAAGTGGATGGAACGGAAAACATATGGCCAGGACTTAGTGACTCAGTGCTCTGGTGTGAGCAGCTGGGTAGAAGGTGGTGCTGTTCCCTAAGAGATGGAACCCAGAAAGAAGACAAGACGGTTTCCTCTGAACACACTGGGTAGTTTTAGGGTGCCCATCAGCCATCCCAGGGGGAATGTCCAGGAGGCTGCGGGATATGCAAGCTGACACTCAGGAGTGAGAACTGGGTGGAGATAAAGTTTTCAGAGCTACTAATGTGACCTTTGTGAATTATGCTGTGCAAGCATTCAACATGGCATACCTATGGTATGCCATGTTGTGCTCCAGGTGCTGCACAGAGCAATACAGCCAAGTTGTCTTCAAAGAGCTTTCGTTCTAGAAGGACCAGCAGATAAGAAACAGGAAAACCCACAAATAAATAAAATTTCTGGAAGGGGAAGCGAGTAGGGACTGCTACAGTCAGGTATCTGTGTCAGTCTCCAAGGCCAATGGGACTCTGGCTCTGCCTCTTCCTCAGGTGGCTGGTTGGCTCTTCCTAGGCTCCTGGAACTGGGCCACATGGCATGTATTTAAAATACCTGTCCCATTATTCTCAAGAGCTTCCTCCAGTTTTCTGAGATAGCATAAGCGGCTGTTTCTTGCAACTAGAAGACTTAATGCACCTCATCTGTTTCTGGGTTGGGTGGGATTGAAGCCTGAAGTGCACAGACAGTTAAGGCACCTTGACTGCCCCCAGCTGCATGACTGTCAGTAAATGCAATGCTATTGACCAGGCCGTTCCTGTAAGCCTCAGCCACAGGATTACTTCATCTGAGCAGAAAGCAGACTTCAAAACAAAGGTAGAGTACTCCAACCTCCATTCCTCCTTCTCAAAGAACTTGTTAGATCTGTCAGACCACAGAATTTGTAAGAGAGAAATGCCTGGGATGTGGGTAAAAGAGAATCTATGAGGTGCACAGATGGACTCTGATTGACTTTTATTATTATGGAAAATATCAAATATTATTTGCTCCCACCATCTTAAACTGAAGTTGCAAGCTTTAATTCTCCAGCCCAAAATGACAATGACAAAGAATATCACCAATATGGGGAAAATGTGGATGATACGTTAAGTGAAAAAAGTAGACTATAAATATGTACCCATATTATGATCAAAATTCTATAAAAATTTGTGGCTGCCCAGATGAGACATTTCACTAAGGGAAAATCTAGGTATAAACTGGACTTTTAAAAAAGGTAGCGTAGGTTATTTAGAAAACAGGAGTTAAGGGCTCTCTGGGTCTTTGTCAAAGCCGAAATAAGCCTGCCCCCTTTCAACTAAGTCATCGACACAAAATCTGCATTTGCAAAGATCATGCCAGTGGGACCACCAAGCTG